GGAGGCCGGGCCGCTGCCGAACAACGCGGCGGGGCCTGCCCGCTCCGCCGCCCGGGCTCCGGCTCGTCCTCTCCGAGCCCCGCGCACCCCCGGCCCGGCGCTGCCCCCGAGGCAGCCCAGGAGCTCGGCTGAGCCTCCCCGCCTTAGTCACGGGCCCTAGAGGAAGCCTTTCAGCCTTTCATCTCCTCGGCAGAGCAGCCCCTCGTCCGCGCACCCTGGGACGTTTTCGGTGCCTCCCGGGAGCGTGTTTATTCATAGCCCCGATCACACCGCAGCCTGCAAGGCCACCAGCTACCTCGCTCACAGCCGGGGTGGTGGGAGTCAGCTCCCAAACAAAACCCTGCCCAGGAGTGCGTAATACGAGGCAGCTGGAAATTGTTCCCCAGGCTGGCTCAGGCCCTTGTTACCAAGAGGCCCTTTGGAGAATGACTGCCTTCCTTTGTTGGACCTAACCTGGCTTGGACTCGGAGGGGTTTAGGCAGCTTTGTCTCCTCCGTCAGATGCTCTCCACCAGACAGCTGCTTTTCAGACCTCATCTACATGTGCTGATTATCTTCCACACCCAAGCCAAGCTACTGAAGGAACTAACATTCACTTTTAAAAGAGGCAAACACAGATTTCCTTGGGGGCGGGGGCTGTTTACAGACCCGGTGCATTATATTTCTAAACTAGCTGGAAGTGGGGAGGGAGGGAACCAGGAGGCGGAAGCTTTTGTTTTGTTGCTATCCTACATTTAATAGGAATTGAATGTAAATGAGCTCCCTCTTTCTCCATCAGCTGCCTGGACCCCATCATCAGCTTACCACTGTTTAATGGGCTTTGGCTCAGTCCTCATGCTAACAATATTAAAAGGGAATTCTCTTGATCATGCCAGTGACTTAAACAGATTTCACTCCACCCTCCTGTCATGACTTGTACTTTGGAGGAAGGTGCCACTCACCCCTTGTTTTTTAAGAGAGGCCTTTCTACTCTGATTTCCCAGGATTTTTGGTTGAGGTGAGGAGAAATCATTCCTCTTTGCTGGCTCGCAGTTTTCAAAATGAGCCACAGGGTTTAGAGGTAGGGCTGAGTCCCCTTTAAAATTCTTTATTTGCTGTGTGGCATTGATTTCGCCAGTGAGAAACAGCCTTTCTCTGTCTTAGGCTATAAAGAAATTCATTGAGGACAAGCTCTGTTACCACATCTGGCATTCTGTGATTGTTACAGAGGGGGTGTGCTCCCAGGACAGGGAGTGGCCTGTACATTTGCACAGAGGAGGTGGAGGAGGAGGAGGAGACCTATTGAGCTCCTGTGTGTGCTCTTTGTTTCAGTCTTTAATGACTAGAAAACAACATTTAACATATATCAGTTAATGACTGTGGGGTATCATTGAAGTGGGAGGCTTGGAAGTTTCATAAACACAACAGTGTCATTTAGTGAATTTATCCATCCCTTGCTGACCCCTACCAAAAAGCAGGACTCCAACATAGTTTTGTACTTTCACTTTTATGTGGGCATGTTTCTCTGAGCCTGTAACCCACTCTTGCAGGCATTGTCTTATCCAATAGTTATTTTCATCTGTGCTTCAGAAGCTATGGAACAGGACATTTTAACCCTTAGAGTAAACTCTGGGCTCAGCATACAGGTTGCGACTACTGCAGTTCAACATTTAAACAAGATGAGCCAGGCCCTGCAGTTCTCATGCTTGCAAGCTGTTTTAAAATCCTTGCTCTTTTGAAGACACAATTTGATAGGTTCATGAAAGGGATTGAATAACTTGGTTGTTTTGATGGCCAGGAACTTGACAGAGTGACTAAGAAGTTCCCTTTCTGTCCTATGTTTCTCTGGTCATAAACTTCCAGTGAAGACAATGACAGATTCCTTTGGGATAAGTGAAATCTATGGCAAGGAAATCTATTTGTGAGATGTGGAATGTTAAGCTTAACATTTCTAGTTTCCTTTTCAGAAGTGAGTTTCTAACTGTTTTCTTTGCAAAGATAAATGTAACGTTGTAAACAAACAAGAAACGACTACTAAGGTTGGGGAAAAAGTGAATAATTTCTCAGCAGAGCACAGTTGCCCCAGTATTCATCCCCACTGTATCTGGCCAAAAAGATTTGCCCATTCATGTTCATAAACTTCTAGCTTTCTGGAAGAACCTCAGACTTACACATTTTTCAGGGCAGAGGGTTTTTATTACCTGAGTTGCTACTACGCTTGAGCGTGGCAAGCTGTCTTCCAGCAAATGAGATGGTCTCTCTTCTCACTAGCCGAAATGGCTATTGGCCACAGTGGGTAGAAGCTCACTAGTATGACAAGCAATATGTCTTAGTGGGCTGAGCTGTGGTGCTGAGGGCAGCTAACAATTGCATTTTAATCCCAGCTTTGGCAGTGACTCGGTGGCCTCAGTCAACTGCTTAGCCTTTCTGCTTCAGTTTCCTCATTAGGAAAACTGAGATATTAATAGTTACCATCCTTAGAACAAGATTGTGATAATTAATTAGGCAATGTTTGTAAGTCACTTATCTAAGTGCTATACCAGGAAGCACAGTCCTCTGGGAGTAGTGTCTGAAAGAGGCCTAGGAGCCTCTGATCCATGGCATAGCCAAACAGTTGTCCCTTGCAAAAGTTTTTGAAATAATGGCAACTAAACATATACCATAGCACAAATAATGTTTGGTTCCCTCATCTACTGTAGGAGGCTGATAATGATCTAGAGTTCCTTTGTAATGTAAATGAGTCAGTCAAATGGAAGTGTCCCCAAAGGATCATTTCTCCCAGATTATCAGGATGGTCATTCATTTACTGACGGGATCATGTAGGCAGGAGTCGGAGGGCAGACCAAGAGTTACTTTGCAGGACCTCCCAAAAATGTTTAGGCAAGCACTGACGGGGAATATGGGTGTGCGATTAATGAAAGATCATCTGTGTCATATCCAGTTAGTTCTCCAGGCTTGTGCCATGTTTGATTTTGAATATGCTAAATCATATTTTATTTGTGTCTGGATTAGATTTTATTTTAGTTTTAAATGTGTATCTGCATTTTTATGTGGAATACAATCAACTTTGAAGTGAAATGTGTGGATGTGCTTTTAAACTCAATTTGACTGATTGAAGTGCAAAATATTATGTCCCAGACTCTATTTTCAGTAGGCAATTATAGATAATTATTCAGCATGAAGGTTCATAATGAGTAAAATAACTTCTAAATAAAGTAATATCAGAAAACGCATTTTTCCATTAGAGTGACCGACTTCTAATCAAAGGAGGAAAGATCGTCAACGATGATCAGTCATTTTATGCAGAAATTTATGTGGAAGACGGTTTGATAAAGTAAGTGGCTCAAAATATATTTGGTATTGTAATTTACATAACGAACATGTTGTTGGTGTAATTTCGTAAGAAGTATGTTTTCCTGAAATATTTGAATTTCCCATAAAGATATTCAAACATACTTGGGGGTGGGGGAGGAAATCATTAGTTATACGATATAGGAAGAAAAAGTCCAAAGAAATATGCGTTAGTGTTTATTTGCAAGTGGAATGAAACCCTAAAGCAGAGAGTAATACAAGTTATTGTAGTAATGCTGAGCTGTATAGGAGGTTGTTAGGTTGAATGTATAGCTTTTACTTGCTTTTATGGACTTCATGAATACCAGAAGGTCAGATGTAAAATGGTCTTAATTCCTGGTGGATATGTGTTCAGAACAAAAAGTCCCCACATAATTTGCCATAATTGGTAAACTGTTAGACTAGGGACAGACATTCAGAAAGTCTGAGCCTGAATTGATTCGGTCTTTGCAAGTTAGTCTAACCTGGCTAAGCTAAATCACTTTGTAACTGAACAGACATCCCAGAAATGCAGGCACATGCCTGCAGTGGCTCAAGCTAGAAGCCAAGGGGCGGTAGAGCAGCCCTCCCTTCCCTTTCACAGTGCTGAGCAGATGGGGGTGTGACCAGGCCCCAGCAAGACACCTTGATTAGGGAGGGATTCCTCCCTCTTCTGACCACCCCAATAGGGAATTGGTAACACAGTGTTTACCATCATCCCTAACTCAGTGTTTATCACCTCATTAAGAAAACAACAGAGGGACATTACCAGCTTCCTGTTGATTCTCCCTTTGTCCTGTTTGCCACAGCACAGACCATAGCCAGCCAGCATGTGGTCTGCTAGCTAATGCTGAGAAATGTCTGTAGGCAGAGTGGAAGGGGAGGGGGGATGCCTGCAGTCTGTGCCGAAGCTACAGCCAGGGAGCAGAGGGGAGGATCCAGTCCTGCTGTGGAGCAGAGAGCCCCGCCCAGCTCAGAGAGCATGCTGGGATGCTGGTGTCTGATTTAACTTAAACCAGGAAGCGGTCTGGGACAGACATTGCATAAACCGGTTTGACCCAAATCAGTTAAGTCTGATACTACATTCAACCAGGTTTATTTCAAACAAGTTTCAGCCATTTTCAGACTGGTTTATATGCACCTAACTTATATTCTGTTACAGGTTTAAACCAGTTTCTGATCACTTAAACTGTTTTATGTCTAATGTCTGTCCCTTAGTGAGTGGTCCAGGATTATAACACTGACTGACAAGGGATATAGGTCACATCGAATGTGTTATACTGGTGTGGGCCTCATGGTGCTCTTCAGTACCATCCAAGAGACAAAAATCTGATTATTCTTACTCCCAGGGATGAAATGGGGTTGAGAAAGTTTTCAAGGCAATGTTTCCTCAATGGAGTTAAGAGAGTGCTTCACAATGGTCCCATAACATCCTGCTACTCTCCTGTTTAATATACCGTTTCATTTCTACTTGGGAGAAATTTTACAATCTTTGACTTCTCCTTTGCCTCAAGAAGAGCATTTGCTTGCTTGCCCAAAAGCTTGCAAATTAAAAAAGAAAAATTTGTAATTAATTGGTTTAATAAAAATATTGCCTCTTCCTCAAGAGTTTTTAGATGCTTTTGCTTCTAGACTAACACAGCTATAACCTATATCACAGTAGTCAAGGGTTGTTGGTGTAGCAATGGTGGTCTAAGGACATAGGCAGACAAGGTTCTTTGGGTAAATGTGACATCTTTTATTAGACCAATTATTTTAAATAATTGGAAAAATAATTGGAAAAACCAATTAAATAATTGGAAAAAATCTTTGCAAGTTTTCAGGCACAAACACCCTTCTTCAGACTCTCCTTATGACTGAAGAAGAGTGTTTGTGCCAGAAAGCTTGCAAAGAAGAATTTTTCCAACTACTTAGTTGGTCTAGTAAAAAGATATCACGTCTACCCAAAGAACCCTGTCTGTCACAGTGGTCAAGAAGCATAGCTACAGAGTCTGAATGGCCAGTCTACCTTTGAAAAAAGGATGGTTTATGAGCTATTTGACCTTATGAGAAGTATGAGTGGAGGCAGGGAGAAATGTCAGATACTCAGAGGTCTAAAGAGTTTCAACTTTTCTTCACTTTCCAAGCAAAAAGATCTCTAATATATAAGGGCAGCAGTCTGGGAAAGCTGATGGAAATTCACTTACACACACATGGAGTCACAGAACTGTAGAATCAGAAGAAAACAAAGCTGGAAGGGATCTTGAGAGATTATCTAGTCCAACCCCCATCTTATCATAGGATCATCAATCTAAGCCAGGGGTGTTTAATTCCTGGCCATGTCATCCAGCCTATGGACCAAAAAGGTTGAGCACCCTTGATCTAAACAATCCCAAACAAATGTTTGCCTACTCTGCATAACAGATTCCACATGGTACTTAACCACTCTCCTAATCAGAAACTTTTTTTCTTAAAGCAATATGAATCTCCCCAGTTGCAATGTTAACTCCTTGCTTCATGTCCTGTCCCCTGTGGACACAAAGAACAACAGATTGTCATCGTCTTTATAACAAGCAATTTTGTATCTAAAGACTGTTGTTAAATCTCCCGTTCGTCTTCTTAGCTGTAGCCTAAATCAAGTTCTTCCAACCACTCCTTGCATGTCGTGTTTTATAGAGTTCTCATTATTTTGTTGCTGTCCTCTGAACTCTTTTCTATTTGTCTGTATCTTTTGTAAAGTGTGGTGTGCTCAAAGTTGGGCACAGTACTCCAGATAAGGCCTCGTCAATACTGAGTATAACGGAGAAACCACTTCCTTTGCCTTGCATACATGTTTTAACAAAAGAAACTAATACTTTTGTTTAAAAGTTCTTTGCAACTAATAGAGCATCTTCATTCTGTTTTCAGGCAAATTGGTGAAAATCTAATAGTTCCTGGTGGTGTAAGAACTGTTGATGCCTATGGCCAGATAGTTATGCCAGGTGGAATAGATGTCCACACAAGACTACAGATGCCTGTAATGGGAATGACCTCTGCTGATGACTTCTATCAAGGCACAAAAGCAGCCCTAGCAGGGGGAACAACAATGATAAGTATGTAACATCACTGAAATGAATTCTTATTGCTGTCTTAAAGCAATAGATTTGGTCTTTTGCTACATTAGAGATTATTAACATAGGACAGAAAAGACTGTAGTTTAACCATGTTAGTTAAAAGTGTGCTTAATTAATGAAGTATGTATTATGCCCTAGTTAATACTACCTGCTTTTTAAAATATAAAACTCCCACTAAATTATGAAGCACCTTTACAGTAATGAGCAATAGCAAGTACTGTACCTGTATTCCTGGGCCTTTTACAGTAAAAAAATGTGTATTTTTACAGCTTGTTTTATATGGGGTGGAAAAAATGTGACTTGGTTAGTCAAATATTTTGATGAGCTTTTCAACTCCAAGGTCTTGAGTTAAAATTTTGTTTAGGTTAAAATTGAAAAATTGTGGTGCCTATCTTCAAGGAAGGGAGGAAAGTGGATCCA